AGTGACAGAGAGGGACAGACAGAGGAAGGGACACAGAAAGAAAGAGAGATTGATCTTCCATCTGCTGGTTCACTCCCCAAATAGCCACAACTGCTGGGGCTGGGCTGGGCCAAAGCCAAGAGCCTCAAGGTCCCCAACGTGGGTGCAGGGGCCCAAGCACTTGGGCCATCTTTCACTGCTTTCCCAGGGCATTAGCCGGGACTCAGACCAGCATTCTATTATGGGGTGCAGCTGTTGCAAGCTTTGGCTTAGCCCAGTGTACCACAATGCCAGCTCCTGCTAAGATTTTGTCTTTTTAAAATTTTATTTATTTGGGAGAGAGAGAAAGACCAAGTCAGAGAGCTCCCATGCACTGGTTCACTTCCAGATCATTACAACAGAGAGGCCAGACCAGACTGCAGCTGGGAGCCAGGAACTCAATCCAGATCCTCTCACGGGGATGGCAGGACCTACCTGGGGCCATCACTGTTCCCTCCCAGGTGTGCATTAGTAGGAAGCTGGAATCAGGGGTAGAGCCAGGTCTCGAGTCTAGGTCTTAACTGCTAGGCCAAACCCCACCCCAGTTGGTAAATTTTTAAAGACTGGACCCAGGGGTTGGCTCTGTGGCATAGCGAGTAGCGCCGGCATCCCGTATGGGCACCAGTTCAAGTCCCCGCTGCTCCACTTCTGATCCAGCTCCCTGCTGATGCACTTGGGAAAGCAGCAGAAGATGGCCCAAGTGCTTAGGCCCCTGCACCCACATGGGAGACCCAAAAGTTCCTGGCTCCTGGCTTTGGATGGGCCCAGCTCTGGCCATTGCAGCCATCTGGGGAGTGAGCCAGCAGATGGAAGACTTCCCTCTCTCTCTCTCTCTCTCTCTCTCTCTCTCTCTCTCTGCCTCTGTCTCTCCTTCTCTGTAACTCTGCCTTTCAAGTAAATAGATAAGTCAGAAAAAAAAAAAAAGAAAGAAAAAAACTGGACCCAGCTGTGGTCACCCAGTGCAGTGCAATCATTGTGTTTTACTGCTAATGTATCCAGGTTTTCGGTTAGTGTAGCTCTTAGCTTTATAAACTTTAACAGCAGAGAAGAACTCAGCATGGTTTTGAAAGGACACCAGTGCCCCTTGTGCCCCCAGTGATGTTATTGATGGAGTCGTGAGGAAGGAAAATCTGTTGTCCCCAAGACCTCGAGAAAGTGCCCTGCAGGCCAGCCCTCAAATCCGGGGGGCTGTGGACAGGAGCTCTTCCTGAATCCCCCTTGGCTAACTACGAACAAGCATATTTGAACTCGGTGCTGTTGTGTGACTCCAGTATGTTCTTCGGTCTCCAGTGGACTCCACGCGTTAGATCCACTGCTTGGGTCTCTTGTTGCAAGGAGAGACTTTCAAAGGCCGTGTCTTGCTTTTGCACTCTGCGCGTTGAAAGATAAGGGGGTGGTTTGTGTTGGCAGCGAGCGAGGCTCCTGGAAGCTGGCGTTCCTGTGGACGTGTTCTGCTGGAGGGAAGCTGTCCCAGAATCAATATTTGTATAGGAAAATGTCCCCAGCCTACCCTCATTCTGATCAGATAAAAGAAACATTAAACTCACAAACCCAAATAGCTGCTCCTTCCTCCTCCCATCCTGCGAGCCTCCCTTCCAAGAGGCACAGAGAGAGGAATTTTTCCTTTATCCCTGAGCATCAATCTCTGTACTGAGGGGCCCACCGAGCCCTCCTGTGGAGACGACCCCAGCTGTGCCTTTCCTGCCTGGGACTTCGTGCAGTGGTCATAAATCCTTGAAATCAGGATAAATACATTTTTATTCCCAAGTGGCCTATGTGAACCACTGGCTGGAATGCATTCGTGGTATTGTGATTTTTTTTTTTTTTTTTTTGCATTTTTAAGGCTATAGCGCTATTTCTGAGCTGGAATGGAATATTCTGCCGCCTTCATCATCTGAGCACTGCGTCCAGGAGCCCGGCAGAGGCTGGGAGATGATTTGTCTCCACCCAGAGCCTTGCTCACCGCACTCTTCCCGCTTGCTCTGTCCGTTTAAGTGGGGAGTAGGCAGCCCCCCATGCAGGGCTGCGGACATGCGGCCGCAGTCGGTGCTCCATTGCCGTGGGCGATGAACCAGAAATGCAGCACAGACTTCTGATCCCAACTTTGCTTCTTTGCTTCTCTGTCCCTTTATCACCATTTCTGTGGATTACAAATCAGGCCTCACAGCCCAGTGTTTGCTCTCGATCCTGGGGTTTTTAATACGTTGTCCTGCATGTTCCATGGCCCAGTATTGTAAGGTAAGAAAAAGCAATAGCCACCCCCTAGAGCAAAGTTTTCCTCTAAAACTAAAACTGGCAAGAGTAAAAATCAAAAGGTAACACACATTGAGTGACAAGGAGACTTGCTATATGTTTGTTTTTTAAGATTTATGTCATTTATTTGAAAGGCAGAGTTACAGAGAGAGAGGGAAGGAGAGAGATCCATCTGCTGGTTCACTCTCTAGATGGCCACATCAGCCAGGGCTGGGCCAGGCTGAAACCAGGAGCCAGGAGCTTCCTCCAGGTCCGCCACATGGGTGCAGGGGTCCGAGCACTTGGGCCCTCTTCTACTGCTTTCCTAGGTGCATTAGCAGGGAACTGAATCAGAAGTGGAGCAGCCAGGACTTGAAGCAGCACCCACATAGGATGCTGTTGCTGCAGGCTGTGACTTAACCCGCTGTGCCACAATGCTGGCCCCTCTTATGTGTTTTCTTTTCTTTTTCTTTTTTTAAGATTTATTTATTTATTTATTTGAAAGGCAGAGTTACAGAGAGGCAAGGCAGAGGCAGAGAGAGACAGAGAGAGGTCTTCCATTTTCTGGTTCACTCCCCAAATGGCCGCAACGGCCAGAGCTGCACCAATCTGAAGCCAGGAGCAAGGAGCTTTTCCAGGTTTCTCACATGGGTGCAGTGGCCCAAGAACTTGGGCCATTTTCAACTGCTGTCCCAGGCCATAGCAGAGAGCTAGATCGGAAGTAGAGCAGCCGGAACTCGAACCGGTGTCCATATGGGCTGCCGGCACTGCAGACTGGAGCTTTAACCCGCTGTGCCACAGCACCAGCCCCTCTCTTATGTGTTTTCAATGGGTTAAGTGGAATTTCTTACCTCTATGGCCCATTGCATTATTAGGAGAGTTTCAGATTGTTTCTGTGTTTTTATTTTTCCCCTTTGGGTTCCCGCCTCTCATTTTGCAGAGAAAACACCAGTGTTTTTCTTTGTTCTGACATTTCCTCCTCTGCGGGCAACAGGACCAACCAGGGACCCCCTTCGATGCAGCACAGATGGGGCTTTGTGAGTAGAAGAAAAGCTTCTGCCCACTCGCACCGCTTCCCCTGGCCTTCAGAGCCACTGTGTGCTCAATGTTCGGGGGTGGCTCCGTGGTGAGCGCCCCATGGCAGGTGTGAAAGGTGCAAAAGCGAGAGGTTCACATCGTGACTTCCAAAAACGCACAACACAGAGGATGATATTTGAAAGTACACAGAACCATGCCAGCTCCATCCAAACCCCAGCAGGTGCCCTCTGTCGGTGAGATCACCTGCTGTTGTTGATGGTGAGGACAAAAACCCGGATGTGCAGTAGCTGGGTCCAAGGATTCACTCCTCTCCCCCAGGGCTGCGTCTTCTCCCTCATCCACCTTTTCTCCTCTCTTCGCCAGATGTGGCCATTTGTCCTTACAAGACTGCGGCCGAGACCTCCTGTCTCTTCCACTCCTTGCCACCTGCCAGGTCAGAGCCACTGTCATCTCTGGGCAGTAGTCACCTAACGGGGCTCCCAGCTCCCACTCCTGCTTCTCTGTAGCCTGCTCGCCACTAAGAAGCAGAAAGGAACTTTGTGAAAATAGACATCGAGCCATGCAGCTCTCCCACCAAACCCCACGTCCTTAGGCTCAAATCTGAATTCAGCATGCTCTCCGCCAAGGTCTCTGGACTGTCATCTTGTTGCATATCCGTGTCTCAGCCCAAATCTCTCTTCACAGAGAAGCTCCAGCCCCGGCCTCCTCACTGAAGTCCCCCACGTGGCTTCCCACCAATTCCCTAGGTGTTCTCTTACGTCCCTTACGGAGACTTGTAATTTCCTCTTATTGGTTGTGGTCCCTGCTCATGGCCTGCTGCCCAGGTAGTTTGTGCACCTTGTGAAGTCAGGGGCTCACCGCGGTGGCTCTCAGGTGTCACCCTGGTGCCAGGCTCGCAGTAGGTGCTCAGCAAACGTTTGTACAAAGGCCGGAGCAAGTGGTATGAAGAGAGAAGTCATCCGCTTCCCATGCGGGGGTCGGAGTTGTGTGGGATGCATGTTGACGCTGCGTATCGATGGGAGGTTGGAGGGAGAGACGGCTGGGGCTGGAGCAGGCCCCGCAGTGAGGAGCTGATGCAGACACCAGAGTCGGGCTTGCAGCTTTTCTGTTTGTTGAGACGGATTCCTTTAGCGGTTGTGCCTGCAGAGCCTGGATAAGGGAGAGGCTGGAAGGAGGAGGGCTTTGAGTAGCAGGTTATTGCTGCAGCAAAAAGGGGGGCCAGGGAGAGAGGGGGTGCAGAGGGAGAGGTGGCTTCAAGACCCCATAGTCTGGAACTTTGTGGTAACAATGCTATGAGCACCCCACACGTAAAATGTTGTGCTTCCTTTATTATTGAAGCTGCCAGCCAGAAAAGCCACAACTAAAAAATACATATGGCCGCTTTCCCGAGAGGTGAAGGGAGCCTTTCGTGGGAATCCTTGGTGGAACGCAGCGCTGATACGATGAGGGCAGGGTGGGTTTAGGCGAGGGGGAGGACGGAGATTAATTCTCCCAGTGTCGTGGATGTTGAAGGAGAGATGCTGTGCAAGGGACATGCCCCTTGCCCACTGGTAACTGTTCATCCCATTGACAAAAAATTGTTCTAATTTTTACATTTTGCTCATCTGCCTAAAATGTTTTCCTGCCCAGCTGCTACCTGGAAGAAAATTACCCGAAACATTGATGTCCCATTTTGCATTTTTAAAATATTGTTCTTTTTTTTTTCCTTTAAGCAATTGAACAAGATGAGGAAAACAGCGTCAAACACGTGACGGAAGCCGAAGGCTCTGCGGATGCCCAGGTATGGTCAGTGTTGCCACAGCCCCTTGGGCCTCTGATGTTGAGAGAGGCGACACTGTTCAGGTGTTCATAAGGAATGCAGGCTTCCCCTCTTGTGTTCTGTGAACAGCTGTGTTCCTGGGACTAGTGTTCAGTTTCAGTATAAAGGTGTTTCATAGAGTGGCCCTAAGTTGCTGATCATAATTAGACTTTGATTCAGGGGGGAGAGACAGATGCAAGAGGCAGATTTATAGTGGGGTGCGGTGGGGGGGAGAGATCGCTGCACCTCCCAGGAGGGGCTGATGTTGTGGTGCAGCAGGGTGACTCTCACTGGCCACACTGGCAGGTCCCAGCCTGCTTTGCTGCTGGTGTGACTGGGAAAGTAGCAGAAGATGGCCCAGGTCCTTGAGCCCCTGCCACACCCACGTGGGAGACTAGCATGGAGCTCCAGGCTCCTGGTCTCAGCCTGGCCCAGTCCTGGCTGTTGCAGCCCTTTAAGGGGTGAACCAGCAGATGGAACCTCTCTCTCTTTCTCTCTTGCTCTTTTCTATCTGTCTGACACTCTGCCTTTCAAATGAATAAATAAAGCTTTAAAAAAAAAAAAGAGAGAGAAGAAGAAGGGGAGGCTACCCTGGGGCATGCCGTTCCTGGGGACCCTGGAGGCAGGCAGTGAGGATGAGGTGGCTGACACTACACACAGCCGAGCTCAGCCAGACAAGTCAGAGATGTTTAAGCTCCCAAAGACCTGTGTCACGCGTGGGTCTGCTCTGGGTAGCAACTAACCTCTAAATGCTATTGTAGTGGAAGTCCTCTAGGGGTCCCTGTGCTATATCAACTGCTAGCTTTATAGCAAAGTGGGGAGTTGCAAGGTTCTTAGCCTGGTTGACCTCCCGCACCGCAGCCCTAACTTGATTCTGTCCGGAACCATCACACTGATGCTTTCAGTGAAGAGCGCACAGCTTGTCACGTGTCCATAGATTCAACTGTTTTGCTATGAAAACATTTAAAAGGCTGCGATCCACAAGCTCATGCTGGAATTGCACGTAAGGCTCTCACACAACTTATCTAGGAATTCCCCAACTCAGGCTATTGGCTACTTTCTCAAAGACTCCTCCAATCATTTTTTCCTAGGGGCACAAGTGTTTTTAAATTGCAACCGTTGGACGGTGCCGCAGCTCACTGGGCTAATCTTCCACCTGCAGCGCCGGCACCCCAGGTTCTAGTCCCGGTCGGGGCGCTGGATTCTGTCCCGGTCGTTCCTCTTCCAGTCCAGCTCTCTGCTGTGGCCCAGGAGGGCAGTGGAGGATGGCCCAAGTGCTTGGGCCCTGCACCCGCATGGGAGACCAGGAGGAAGCACCTGGCTCCTGGCTTCGGATCAGCACAGTGCGCCGGCCGGCCGCAGCGGCCACTGGGGGGTGAACCAACGGAAAAAGGAAGACTTTTCTCTCTGTCTCTCTCTCTCTCTCACTGTCCACTCTGCCTGTCAAAAAATAAAAAATAAAAAAAATAAATTGCAACCGTAGCCATTCTTTGTTTTGAACTTACTCTGCAGGCAAAAGTCTGACTACGGTTTTATTCCTCGAAAGGATGCACAGTTCTGCTGTTTGAGTTTTGTGATTTGTACCAGCAACAGTGATTGTACAGTGCTTTTGCAGGCTGTAGAGAGGAATGAAACCCTGAGACCAGCCACTCGATAACTAGAGCAGGAACAGAGTCTGCATAAGTCTGAGAGCCGAGAGTTGCCTTCCCGGGGAGCTGAGTGAAGGGGCGTAGGAAGGAAGACAGCTGCCATCTACTCTCGATTCTCTGAGATGACTTGATGGGCCCCCACAGTAGAGCCCCCTGTTTAATAAGGGTTCCTTTTGCAGGTTCAGCCCTCTAAGTACTGCGGGCAGAATCACAAGTTCAAGTCATGTGAGGCGAACTTGAGGCAGTTAGGGATCCGTGGGTGTGATTTACACGCAGGGTTTATCTGACGTTTGACGTGTGTGCGTGGGGCTGATGCAGCAGGTACATGCCGAGTTCACCAGGTTTCAGACTACCTCAGTTCTCACTGCAGAGCCGATTTTAAGCAAGACCAAGTGGAAACTGGCTTCTCATTGCTTCTCCTTCACATGTGCTGAAGTATGTGTCCATGGGGACAGTGCCTCTCTTCCGTTGGAAACTTTGGGTGTATAATAGGTTTATATGCTCACCACCCCCAGGGAGAGGGGACCTCACCGTTCACAAGCTCCTTGCCCACCAGGGAATTCTCGCTTCCACTCAGATGTAGGCCCCTCTCATTCTTCTCCCTCTCAAGGCTGGGGTTCGGCCTGGGGGTGAAGATGCCCACGTCCCACGTCAGAGGACCTGAGTTTGACACCTGGTTACACTCCAGACTCCATCTTCCTGTTGACGCAGGACCTGGGGGTCAGCGATTGTAGTTCAAGTGCTTGGCTTCCTGCCACCCACAAGGGAGAACCGGGTGGAGTTCCTGGCTCCCAGCTTTGGCCTGGTCCAGCCTCAGCTGTTGTGGGCATTTGGGGAGTGAACCAGAGCTTGTGCTCACTCACAAACAGTGTCTCCCTCTGTCTCTCTCTGTCTCATGCGTGTGTGTGTGTGTGTATGTAAAATAAATAAAAATTGTTGAATTTATTTATTTGAAAGGCAGAGTGACAGAAAAAGATGAGAGACAGAGGAACATCTTCCATATACAGGTTCATTCCCCAAAGGACTGCACCGTCCAGGTGTGAGGCAGGCTGAAGCCAGGACCCAGGAACTCCATCCAGGTCTCCCACATGGGTGGCAGGTGCCCAAGCACTTGGGCCAAATTCCACTGTTTTCCTAGGAGAGAGCTGGATCAGAAGTGGAGAAACCTGGACTCGAACTGGTGCCCCAATGTGGGATACTGATGTCCTAAGCAGCAGTTTAACTTCTTGAGCCATAACACCAGGCCCTCAAATAAATGAATTAAAAAAATAAAAATTAAAAAAAAATGAAGGTATCTTCTCTGCCCAAGAAAACCCTTGTCCCAGTGTTGTGACCTGTGAGTCGTGTGCAGAGGGCACTGGGGCTTGGGCTCGGGCCCCAGCCCTTCTCCCACAGCTAATGCCTCTGGGTGAGTTTTACAGGGGAGTAAGCCTAAAAGCTTTCAAAAAGCACCATGCCTCTGTCACCAGTGTGCCCCCACCGTGCCAGGCAGCACCTAGCAGGCATGTTCTCATCTCTGCAAAGGAGGGGTATTTCGATGACAGCACGAGGCTGAAATGAAACAGCCACACAACGAAGGTGCCTGCAGCCCTGGCACACACAACTCTGCAGGCACCCGGGTACTTGGCCGCCTGGCGTGAGGGTTGACAGCTCTGCCTGCGGCATGGCACCACCTGGACTCCTGGCTCAGCCCCAGTCACCGTTCAGAGCTCCATTTTCATGTGTTTGTATGGAAACCTGCAGTGTAGACAGTGCGCACTTACTACCATGGACAGATAGGCTGTGAGTGATGGGGCAGTCTGACCACAATGTCCTTGTGCTAAATTACCTTTCCAACCTCCGTAATTGATGATAAAATGAGTGTGAGTGAAGCCCTCAGGGCAGCGCCCGGCACGCCGGGAGCGCTCAGCACAGGTGGTTCCTTCTGGGTCATTCCAAGCTCACCGTAGCCATCTGACTCCTGGCTTTTTTGAATGTGTCTTCCAGGCACCTGATGACCTGACTGGGGTGCGCTATGACCCTGTCTACTGCACTGGTTATCTTTCATAAATACAGCACTGTCGCCTTCACTTTTTTTCTTTTAATTTATTTATTTGAAAGGCTGAGTTACAGAGAGGCAGAGGCAGAGAGAGATAAAGATCTTCCATCTGCTGGTTCACTCCCCAAATGGCCACAATGGGCAGAGCTGAGCTGATCCGAAGCCAGAAGCCAGGAAGCTTCCTCCAGGTCTTCCACACGGGTGCAGGGGCCCAAAGACTTGGGCCATCTTCCACACTTTCCCAGGCCATAGCAGAGAGCTGGATCAGAAGTGGAGCAGCCAGGACTTGAACCGGCGCCCATGTGGGATGCCGGCACGGCAGACGGCAGCTTTACCTGTTACGCCACAGGGCTGATATCGGCCTAGAAAATAAAGGAATCTTGGTCAAAATGCATTGAAGTCTTGCCGGTTTCTAATGGGATCTTTGGTGAGCAATGGGTGATGTGGTGAACTGGGATTCTTGCTATGGCTCACGTGACATCTGATGACTGGGTTCCGTAATCATCTTCGTGATTGCCCATCCCCCACTTGAATCAATCATTTTAATCTTAGATGATGAGAATTCTTAATGATACAGAGGAGTGGCCAAATGTTTGATAATTTTTCTGTAGCCAAAAGAAAAACATACTGAAGTAAGCTCTCAGTTAAGGCTGCTAATAGAAAGCAGATGATTCTTTATATTTTTTTAAAAATAAACATTGTACCTTGTAATTATACCATACAAATTATTAGCTCTTTTTTAAAATTATTTTATTTATTCGAAAGGCACACTTGGAAGATGATCTTCCATCTGCTGGTTTACTCCCCAGATGGCTGCAATGACCAGAGCTGGGCCAAACCAAAGCCAGGAGTCAGCACTTGAGCCATCTCCCACTGCTTTCCAGTGGTGCATTAGGAGGGAGCTGGATCAGAAGTGGAGCAGCCAGGACTTGAACCAATGCCCATATGGGATGCCAGCTTTGCAGGTTGTGGCTTTACCCACTATGCCACAATGCCAGCCCCCAGATGATTCTTTTATTTACTTACTTTTTATTATTTATTTGAAAGAGTAACAGAGAAAAAGGGAAAGAGAGAGAGGAGAGAGAAGTTTTCCACTCTCTGGTCCACTCTCCACATGCCTGCAACAACTGGGGCTAGGCCAGGCCAAAGCTCAGTGGCAGGGCCCAAGCAATTGAGCCATCATCTGCTGCCTGCAGGTGTGTTAGCAAGAAGCTACATCTGAAGCAGAGGAACCCAGTGTCCCATGGGATGGCTTAATCCTCCACACCACAGCATCCTCCCCACATGATTCTTTG